CGTCTTAGTTCGGGTAAAGGTTTACTTTCTTTAGGGAGTTTAGAAACAGGTTGAGTTGGTTTAGAAGTTTCAGGTTCAAGGTCTCGAACTACATTATTGTTTTTAGCCTCCTCATAAAAGTTGATTTGTTTTCTACTCACCCTTGCTTCAGGGAACTCTTTTTCAAAGAAGTGAGCATCGCGGCTTTCAATAACTGTACCAGTTTCAAGATTGTAGAATCGATACCCCTTACCATGATCTGGGTAACCAATGAAAATAGATTTGACAGTTTTGGGTTGCAATTTGATTTTAATTTGATGTGGGATATGGACATGGGCTGAGCAACTCCAAACTTTCAAGTGTTTAAGAGAGGGAGTACAACTTGTGAAATTTCGTGAGGAGTAAGTGGCAACTTTTGTGGGAATCCGGTTAAGGATGTAACATGACGTTAATACAGCTTCTCCCCTAAACTCCAATGAGACATTTGCATGCCCCATCATACTCCTTACCATTTCCACTAAGGTCATATTCCTTCTCTCAGCTATACCATTTTGTTCAGGAGTGTAAGGCATGGTGTACTGATGGATGATCCAATTTTCAATGCACAATTATTTGAAAGGGTCAGATGAATATTTCCCTCCTCTATCGGTTCTAAGGACTTTAATTTTCATGTTGCTTTGATTCTCTACTTGGGCTTTATATTCTTTGAACTTTTCTAGAGCTTCTGATTTTATATGAATAAGGTACACGTAGACATATCGCGAGTGGTCATCTATAAAAGAGATCAAATATATTTTTTCACTTTTGGTGGTCACATTCATAGGTCCATATATATCACTATGAATGATTTTCAATACACTAGTAATTGTTTTTTGCCCTGGTGGTATATTTTTTTATTAGTTTTCCTTGCACACAAGACTCGCACACTTCGATAAATCTCGCTTATAATTATGATGAATCCCGTCCCTTTTTAATGTTTCCATTCGTTTGATATTAACGTATCCTAACCTCATATAACATAGGGTAGCATCTAATTCATTAGGAGACGAGACATAGGTAACGTTCTTTTTTATTTCAATGGTAAATAGCCCGTCTACAAGTCGTCCAGTCATGGTCACATCTTTCCCCTTCTTGACCACCACTTTCTCTCTAATGAAAGTGGTTATGAATCCAGCCATAAACATCTTAAGAACCGAAACCAAACACTTCCTCATATCATGAGCATAAAGTGCTTGTTTCAAGATCAAGATGCTCCCACTCTTTAGTTTCAGCTAAAAATCTCCAACTCCAAGTACATCAGTCTTCTGATTTCCTCCCATATAAATATGTTGTTGTCCTAGCCCCTTGGGAGTGAAAGAACGGTAACCTTCCTTGGTGTTTGTGACATGAACTGTAGCCCCCGAGTCAAGACACCAAGAAGCTTCATTGGAGTCAGCTAGCATGGACTCGAAAACTACACATACCAATTCCTTGTTAATTCCACCAGATTTGTTGGACCGATAATTATTGGCTACTATGTGGCCCACCTTCTTGCAAATAAAACAAGTTCGAGTCTCTCTCTTTACTCCCTTATTTCCAAAATCTCTTCTTTTGAAATATCTTTTCTTCTCAATAGTATCTCTTCCTTTTCCTTTCTTAAATTTAAAAGATGATTGAGATTTTACCATATACACAACATCCCTTAAGGTTTGCCTTGAACTCCTCTTTTCTTTTTCAAATTTGATGGTCGTAATGAGTTCCTCCAATTTTAGTGTCTTTCTTCTAATAGAGATGGAAGATATGAAAGTCTCCCATGAATTAAAAAGAGAATTCATTAAATGAATCACTTGCATAGATTCATTGGGCTTCATGCCACGAAACACATGCACATGATCTGCAAACTTGGTATTTTTTATCATTTTTAAATCATTGTACCTTTTCATAGCCATAGTTTACTTCATGAGAGAAGGTTCAACATACTCTCTTTCAAGTTTATCAAAAATCTCACTTGCAGTATAGATTGACTCGTACTCAAAAGCATACGAGTTAGTCATAACATATAAAAGAATGTGATTGCATCTCAAGTTCATCCTCTTCCAGTTGTTGAGCTCATCTTTGATTATTTGAGATGAGTCGTTAGTTGGACAATGAAGTCAGTCTTCAAAAATTACCTCATGCAAGTTTTCTTCATAGAGCACAAATTTGATTTTTCTTTTCTATGAAGCAAAGTTGGTCCCATCAAAGCTTTCGGTTTTCAGGATTTCAGAGATGAAGGTACGAGCAACCATTATTTTATATTATCAAAAAAATAAGAAGATACTTCTAATGGCTATCAAGTAAAACTAGATACCAATAAAAGAAGGACCTATGTAATCTTATACCGGAGAAATACAGTTGTTCTTTTTTTAATAATAATCACCCCTTATAATTTTGGCAACAAGAGATCACTCACAGGTGGTCTTATTACGCACAATATAAATTTCAAAAATAAATAACACATCAATAAAATAAATCTCAACTACTTGATGTCATTAATACAACCGAATACTGTGCTTGAGAATATAAAATAAAAGAACAAATAATTAAAAGAAAAGATGCCGGAGATTACCTCAACCGGGCTTTTTACACCAACACTGAGTCATCGCATATAATGGCGTAAGATCAGCAGTCCAGCTTCAATCTCGAACCGGGAAAGCTAATTTCGGCTAAACTAGGCAACCATCATTTAATCTCTACCCTAACTCCAAAATAATTAGGCTCAAACCCTAATTTTTCCCAACTCTTAGATTAGATCATGAGAGAGTGAGAGAGAGTTGGGGCGTGCCCCCTAGGGTCCTTTTTAGGAGGAGAGAGAGAGAGTAGAGAGAGAAAATAAGATAGTAGAGAGAGGGGCGTGGCCCCTACGGAAGAGAAAGAGTTTATGGGTGAGAGATGTGTGTTGAGATGGGGGACAGACAACACCCCTATTTATAGTGAAATCGAGGTCTTTAGGGTTTCTCATAGTTTGCCACTTTTTTTAGATTGAATATGGACCGTTGATCAAGGTGACTTGTGGGGTGAAAGATCCGAGCCATCCATTCCATAGATCGTCCATCAACATTATGGAAGGTGCATGAACCGTTATCCCCCTTTCCTTTAAACCATTTTCTCATCAATAGATTTAAATAAATTAAATCCATTAAAGATATAGTGCATACCATAAATTGTATATTTCAGCTCATATTTTCCATAAGAATATTTCAATAATATCAAGTCAAGATATTCCTTCAATAATCAAGATAAGATATGGTCAATATTTCCTAATTAATGTTTAACTACATGCTACAAGATGTAGTTACCATATTTAACAAACTTGAAGACAAAGCAACAAGATAATGTATCCAAGGGTGGGGCGTGCCACCCATGTATGGCATGTGGGGCCCCACCTAATCCCCACATGGTAGGCCCATGTGCACTATGAGCCCCCATGTATTTTTTTTTTAATAAATATTTTAAAATTTAAACAAAATGAATTTTAAAACATTATAACTTTGTAAATTAATAACTTCATTTTTATAAATCCAAAAATAAGAAATAAAATATCAAATGACTTACAAAAATTCAAATAATACATCTAAAATAATTAATAATAAAATCAACACAATTAAATTAATATGATGGGAAGTGGATCTATATGATTCAGAAATTCAATGAACAATCACAGGGTACTCCATCTTCAACTGTGGACTACAGACCACATTTGCTTTATCGAACCGACCTAGTGTTTCCCATGACCTACAGTCCAGGCAGTGGCTCATTAGCGGGTCACCAAAGTTTGATCGATAAGTCAAAGAGTCACAATCCTAATCTGTAGATTACAGGTCCTCCCTTAAAGACAAATCAAGATCACCACGACCTGATGCGAAAGGTATCTCTCGCACATACATATGTTTCACCAAAATGTAGATATCTAGCTTTCCCGAACGATTTATCTATATGCATGCCGTGTAATGAAACAATGATGAAGTTTTGGCCCCCGTATCTGTAGACCTACCATCACACACAAAAGTTACACAGTCTCAGAGCTCAATCATCTAAACATAGGCTCCGACCTCATCAAGGGCTAACCCAGAAACCCTTCTCGATTTATTTTTTATGCTCAAGTACTTTGAGTTTTCCAACCGGCTGGCCTAGATCGTCAAGCTCAATCCGTTATCTACAAGTATCATTTGCTTAGTATGATCTTCAAGGGACTACACTCCTACTAAATTTATGTTCCACTATCGTAAATGTTTGTCATTACACACTCATTGCAATGAAACCAAACCACCACTTTCCAATCAATAGCAGGTCTAATAGACCCCACACACGTCAAATTTAAGTAGATCGTTGAAATAGCCTATAGTCAAAATAAACTGGCTCTTGAGCATCAGATCTTAATCCAAAGGCTCACGCGCTTTTCATTTTGCGGTAATATTTGGGACATGCATACATCTAACAAGAAGCGAACTCAATAACAATAAAAATAAAAATATCCTATCAATAAAAATTACCTTGAATGCTCCATAAATTTTCAAAGGCGTTTTGATCATTAATTTTCATGAGAGTTTTTTTTTTTTGGCGACGTGCACCCTAGAAATGAGACGAGATACCCACAAAAATTTCAGCCAAAAAGGTTTTGTAGAAAGAAAATTAAAAATCTAATAATGTTTTAGCATAACATGAATAATCCTAACCATTGATTTAAATCGCGTAGCTGAAAAGTGGGGTCACATATAATTTATATGCCTTGGGGTCATACAAAAAGCTTTCCCCTAACAAAATGCACACCTAGAGTGCTTTGAAAATTAGGCAGGAAATAGCCGAAAAGCAAAGCATTCCATAATACTCTCTCTTTCTGCTGTAGGAGACAAATTTCACACCATGTTTGGTCTTTGAAGGCACAAAAGATTGTAGAATTTATCGCGCAGAAAGAAACTTTTTCCCCTGCTGTCAGTTGCTTTCTTCCATCCACACCATCCGCCATTGACAATGCTTTTCAGGTCTTCACCTCCAGTGTAATGCGGATCCAAAATGAGGAAGGCGCAATCTCCGGTGTGCTCATTGTAGTCGACTCCCAAGAGAGTGTAAGCAAGGACACCGCCACCTAATGCCACCCAACAAAAGAACACAAGTAAAATGTCATATTTTCCCTTAAATTAAATGATTTGACGACTTTGATCAGAAAATGATTTGGTTGTTGGTGAGAAAACCGAGCGAGAACTAGTCTAGCTGTCTTGTTCTCATCTAATGCAAAAAATGTAAAGAGTTGTTGTATCCTACCATGATTCCTAATAATTTAGACAGTCCAAGTAAAACTTCAAATCCTAAATGAAGTGCTCAGCTATTTACAGAAACAAAATAATAGTATATGGTTGTTCCTGTAAACTTTCAAACCTACTTATGAAGTTATGGTACAGTTCACAGAAACAAAATAATAGTATATGGTTGTTCCTGTAAACTTTCAAACCTACTTATGAAGGTATGGTACGGTTCACAGAAAGTAGATATATTTGCCTATGTTGCAGGAAATTAGTACTGTTTTATAGAGCTGTCATAAAGAGGAACAGTATGGTGTTTCTGTTAAGTTTCCAAACATCAGTACCATAAAAGACAACAGGAGATAGAAATGGTAAGAATACTTATTCTGGTACTTACCAATCATAACAGGAGTCCCTTGAGTATGAAAATGCAAAGCCAACTCCCGACACTTCTCAGGAAGCTCTGATCCAGATCTGACATTTATGATCTTGCAACTTACCTAAAAAAAACACATTCACACTTTGAGCAGGCAATTGAACAATGGAGAAGTATATAAAAAGAGATCATTTATTTTTAATACAGGGAGGTCGCAATCACCTTTGTCCATCAGATTTCAAATCGGATAGTTGTAAGTATATCGACTAGACTCCAAATTAAAAAAAAAATGTTCTTGAACTTTGTGACACCCCCCAAGCGATCCAATTTGATATCTAATGGCTAGTACCAATTGTGACCACCTTGTACCAAAAATAAATGGTCTCATAGTATACAATCCATTGAATATTTTCAATAAAGTGATGTGGCATATATCTAGAAACCCAAATTGAGCAAGAAAATGGTTAAAAAGCATAACATTAAACTTTTATAAATCTAAGTCTCTGTAAAATGAAATTAGAAATGGGCAATTGCTTTATTCAAATAATTAGCACTTCTAATAAAAAGTCCATAGAAACTAACTGGCAGGAGATGACATCATGACAAGTTTGATTGGCAATCAAAAGATGTAGAAAGTATTTTGGGGAATGCAATTCCAGGGAAGAAACATAACATTCTTTGCTTTACTTCTTTATATGTTATTCAATATTGACACCTGCACGCGACAGAACCAAATGTACCACATGCAGCTGTATGGAATTGCACTAGTAATCTACAGACATTACTAAACTTAAGAAAAAACTTAAGAAATTTTCATGACTTTAGTTGAACTTCTTTTGGGTTAGGATGAAAAGCTCTAGGATTATGCTCAGGACATTTTAGATAGATGCCATGGGTATTCTGTCATTTAAAATCACAAAGGAGTTTTGGTCAGTTTACATTGAGGCAATTTTGAACCGCCAAAGGGAACTATGCAGATGATACACTTCAGATTGATAAAGCAAACTATGTGATGACTAATTAAATCGAAGGGGACCTATCTTTGACTCCTGTAACTGCAATGAAGGGGCTCTCAAGTTCAGGAGAAAAGGCGGGAAGGACTACATAGCATTGAGGGGTACTCTTTGTTCTGCAAGATTCTTTCCCATGATACAGGCTTAGTTATGTCCTGAATGCAACTTGACATGTCCACATTTCTTTCTCCTCAAACTAATACCCCCATCATTTTATCTGTCTATCCACTAGTCAAACAGGGCAGAGATGATAGTTCACCGTTTGGTCATGCCCCTCTGACAAATGGCAAACTTAATCTTTCTTTTATCTTCTGTTCTGTTACCCAAACCAATCTTTTAAGTAAGAGTGTATACTATGCGTATATTATGCTCCTGCGGGAGCCCAAAAACCATTTAAACCCTCAAACAAATAAGCTACTTAGGAGGATTTTCTTGATTTGAAATTTTGGGATCCACTTCAGAATCATCAGATGAGTTCTTTCTTTTTCAATCAGATCCAGAGTGTATATCAATATTTTTATTTTTATGACAGTCAATAGGTTGAGTAGATCACACCCCAAAATTTTGGTTCCCAAAAATACTACTAGCTATGGATTTCCCTAAGGGAGAAAATGTACATTTTGCTCCAGTGGGAGCATATAATCTTTTCAATTTTAAGGAATACCAAGCCTAAACTGATCAAACGAGTTCACAAGCAACATTATTGCATAATTGATCCTTCCAAAACAATATTAGAACGCAAAATGAACATACAATTAAGACATAAGAGCACCATATCAGTGCAGATCAACAACAACAATTACATATTCATCAGAGAAATTATAATTTGAATACCATCATCCTAGTGTCTCCTTTGTAGTACAATTAAGGGCACATACCCCAAGAAGACTATCCAAAACAAAACTCAGCTCAATAGCTCCAATCCATTCACGAGAACCAACAAATGAGATCTCCTTGTCACCAATTTCTACAAGAGTTTCCTGTATTTTCCTGCACACAGCAACCACTTCAACTATCAACAAGCTGAATCCCCCACGTTCTAATCTGGGGCATCAGTTATTGAGTGGATCTAGAGTTCTATCCGAAGAGAAGCAGATTTGAAACATCGAGGATGCAAATGAATATCACTTAATCCCAAGATAAGTATAGGGAAGCCAGGACAATGTTATTTGTGCTGAAGAATAGAGAGATAATTAATTGCCAGAAGAATTAAAACGTAAACAAGTTATCCTAGATAGACAAGTAAACATGCACCAACCGATGCTGGTGAAATATACCCCCTGTACCTGTGTGATGGAACCTCAATGGAAGTGTAGTGCTGAAGCCTAAACCAAGAAAATATCGTCTGCAGTGAGCGGTAAGCACAACCCCAGCCCTGGAAGATCATGCATAATTAATGTGAGAGATTCCAAATTTACAGATATAGAATGAAGAAGCACATCTTCTAAATTAGATAAAGCAATATTATTCATAACTTTCTTCTGTAAAAGACAGAATATATGATAACCGGCTAACTGCTCCAAATTCACTGGACTAGTTAGACTCAACTGCCTCATAGTAAGGTTCTTCTATGACTAGGAAGAAAAAGACATCCAATGATGAAAACATTTCATTGTTGTCGAGTATTAAATACATTTATTAAACTACAGAGGTGTTACAAAGAAAACTAAACCAGACAATGAGTTGATCTCACATATCAAGCTACAAGGAGAAAGTTAAAAAGAATATTCTTATAGGAATAAAACATTTTCCAATCAGTATGAGAGAAAAAGGATCTGTGAAGACAATGAAATAAAGAAGGAAATAGGGAGAATAATGATAGTTGGACTTATTTATTAGGAAAATTGCAATTAGACTTTGAAGAATACTTTCTACATTGAATGTTGCATTACCTTCCTCGAATAATAAATGCATTTTTCAGGCAAATAATTTATTTATGCATCATCATCAGAGCCTTTTTCTAACTATTTCGGATCTGCTATACGAATCCCGATCTGCCATTTTGCTCTACCAAGGGCCATACCCTGAGTGGGGCCATAAATCGCCATATCCTTTCTCACTACTTCCAATCATGTCCTTTCACTTGAACTAACTCGCACATCTTAACAGGTGTCGTACTGGGTCTGCGTTATACATGACCAGCCCACCTATGTCTACTTTTTCTCAACTTATCACCTATTGGAGCCACACTTAAGTTCTCTTGAATGTATTCATTTTGAATTCTATCCCTTCTTGTCTTGCCACTCATCCATCTCAACATCCCCATCTCAGCTACACTCATCCTATGGGTATGTTGTTTCTTGAATGTCCAACTTTCCACCCCATAAAGCAAAGCTGGTCTCACAATTGTCTTATAGAGCTTCCCTTTCAGCTTCATTGGTATGCGGCAATCACATAAAACTCTAGTTGCACATCTCCACCTCGCCCACCTAGCTCTCTATGTTCCTCTGTCTCTTCCTCTTTCATAAATAATGGCTAAACTATGATTTACATAGTCTGCAGATAATTATGCTCAAATTCAAATCTTTCAATCAGCCTGCCCTAAACTCCATGCTAGCTCAAATCTAGTCAAATTTACAAATATAATTGGTAATGATATCATGAATGGAAAACAAAAATGGTTTATAAAGCACTTAGTGAAGTTTGGGCAAGGAAAGCTTTATCCAAAAAAAAAAGAAAAAGAAAAGAAACTCGGAAGAAGGGGAGATAAGCACATTACATTGTCATCGAAACCATCTTGAAGGTAGTGGTAATATTCATAGGAACCATCAACAAGAGACATCTGTCCTCCAACAACTATAAGAGCAACCAATGCAACAGGATCATCAGAACAGACTGCATCTTTCCATGCATTTCATCTCGTCTGCTCAGTTAAATCATGAATGGTTGAATGCAATCGAAAACTCAATTTATTTTAGATGATTAATTCTACTGTTCAACAAACTAACCTCCGCTACTAGGAATTCCAGTATGAACATCTTTGAGCCGTGCAGAACCTGCCGATGGATCAATGCAGTCATGACCATGTTCAGAGTACACATAAATCCACCATGTGGCCATTAAATTTAATACTAGTAGAAGGGCCACATCAGGACCAATTCCACAATGACGAGAATCTATAGGAGGATACTGTGCATGCATTGGGACATTCCCATGCCCAACAGGACAGAAAACTGTTGTTTATCTGGGCTCCCCTGAGAATTTGAATGGGTGAAATACCTTTCGTTAATCCATTCTTCCCTGTGCGGCTCTCGAGGAAGAAGTTAAGGGAATTTGCAACTCTTAACAAAGGACGATCCAAGGGTAACCCAAGTCTTGAATGTAGCAATCTTCTGATCTCAACTGTATACATAAGGTTTTATGTAAGTACAATGTAATTTGGGTAAAGTATGGATCTTAAAATAAGGCAAACAGAAATACTTTAGCACCTTTTTAGTTTTGTTGCTTGTACTACAATTTTATAAATCAGCAAAAAAAAAGTTTATGAAGGAAAAGCATTAAGATGATTGCGCTTGAAGCATCTCCCTACCAGTGAAAAACAATAATAAAATATGAGAAACATACTTGCAAGAAAAACAAACATTTGGAAAGTATGATGTTTAAATGGCATACAACACATATCCAAGTAAAACTCCATGGGCAAAACAAGTGTAAGGACAGTTTTATCAGTTTCAATGGTTTTCTTTTAATCAGTAATCAGCTAACTGGTTCAGTTTCATAATCAATGGTGCGGGCAGACATATACAACAGAATGCAGGTTTTCCATTATAAAAACAAATCACAGGGCTTCATGGTCAACTAATTGACCAAGCAATCGTGAAAACTTTCCATCTAACTGAAATTTCAGAAGTTGCATAAAAAAAAATACACAAAAATTGCAGTGAGTACCACAATAGCTTTGGAGAAATGTTGCAGAAATTAAATCAAAGGATGTAGGTATATGATTGTTGATTGAAGTTCACACCATTCATTGGTGATACAACTGACAATAACAGTACTTTAGGATCTGTGAAAAAGATGGAAAAATGCTTCTAAACACCTCGAGATTATAAGAAGTGTAGAAAGTCAGCAAGAGTTAAACATAATCACCATTACTTTATAATGGCTGTTATTAGAGAAGACTATCAAATATAGTAAAGCTAATCAGCTAATGCAAACGAAATAAGATGGAATTGATGTAATAAGGGAAAAGTTAGTGAGGACTACGTGATTCCCTGCCCCTTGTGTTTCCTCACCCAAATGTGTATTTCTTATTCCAATATACTATGATAGATGAGAGATGATAAAACCTACCTCTACCACCAGATGCACTTAATATGATTTATGCACAACAATTCATGTACAAATTACAATAAAATTTGAGTAGAATTCTTTAAAAGAAAAACTCAGATTCGTCAAAGGATCTTGAAAGGCATGGATAGATAAACCTCCTATTGATCATTATAGAAAACTAAACATACTTACACATGTTCTTATCTTTATGCATGCTGAAACTGAAAGTCTAGTAAAGTAAATCCCATACATTGGAATACCTAGTTTCATCTCTGTCTCCCCATAACTGAGTTCATATAAAGCAGTCACTGGATGCAGAATGCCTGGGGGGAGGAAATGATTTGGACATAACTGCAGCAACTCAAAGAACACTATAAGTTAGACGGAGATGGATAGTTCATAATATGACGGGGTCACTCTGCTTTTGACCATCAAACAATGGGCAACTTTCTTATCCAAATATTTATGAACTAAAATCAGCACTACTTTATCTTGAGATCTTGAATAGAAGATCTCAAAATTTACATCATTTAGTCAATTCAGTAAACATTTAAAAAGATAAATCACACCATACACACTTGAAAGCAGATACATGAAACTAAACCAAGGTTGATTGATGTATAAGTTGTGGAAATGACTAAATTCAGAATAAAAATCAGGCTCCTTCAGAACCATGCATAACCTGGTTGTTAAAAGCATATCTACAGCATCGGAAGACAAATTCAATGTTCAAAATGTCTAACTACTCAAAAAAAAAAAAAAAAAATCTACAGCATTGAAAGAATTTGTAACTACTGGTTGTAGTTAAGCTAAAAAAAAATTCTATGTGATGCTAAAAAAAAAAATTCCATGTGAAGCTACTGGTTGTAGAATCTTTCGATGCTGTAGATATACTTATAAATAACTAATTAAATGTAGATATAACTACTCAAAAAAAAAAAAAAAATCCATGTGATGCTAACAAATTAAATGTTCAACATGTTTTTCCTTCTAATTGTTGAGGTATCAACAAATGGCATTAAAAGATCTTTAAATTTTCCTATTGATTAAGTCGTTAGCAGATATTATTAGAATTAACGGCCTCGATATAATTCATCCCAAACTAGGACATCAGATTTGCATAGATCCCCTTGATTTATCTAAAAGGAAAATAAAGAATAAAGAAAAACCTCCCAAATCAAAGAATTTGTAATTTTGCTGGATCAGATAATGTTCTACTAAGCACTCTCAAACAGTGCTTCTTGACTCACCTGAGTCCACTCAGACTCCAGCGAGCAACTCAGCCTTGCCTTAGTGACTCAAATAATGTTCAATTCGTTTTTAGGTCAGATAATGTTCAACACGTTTTCTCTTTTTTAAAATTTTTCTGAAATATTCAAGGCATAATTTTTTCAATAATCAATCTGTAATATTTTTTTTCATCTTCTTTGGTCTTCTAATGATTTCTATTAACTCTTTGAACTTTTTCTGATTTTTAACTATTTTTTAGAGATTTTTTACCTTATATTTTTTTACTTTTGACATTTTTTTTGGGCTTTGCATAACTGCCGAGTTATTCACACCTCAGTCAAGGACCGAATACCTTGGCCAAGACAATCTTCAAATCATTGTGCTCAAAGGTAGACACTAGGATGAAAGATTCTACAACCAGTAGCTTCCGGTTTCCATCAACTTCTAGTTATCCACTACTACTAGGTACAGAGCAATGCAGTCACCAGACTGCCAGTTCAGTTTGGTGCACAGGTGCAAATTAAATTCTATTTAGCCTTGCAAGTCCAGAACCATCCTGAAGCAGCCTGATCCAATTGCCTTTTCTTTTTGATTGACTTAATCATATTGATATATAAAAAATGTCTATGCACTCCCTCTTTAGGCAGTGAATTGGCTAACCATTTGACTCTCTCCAGGTATGCACAAAATATACTTGAAAATCCAAATTTTGTCAAAAAATTCATCAAAATAGCCAGTGAATATCCATGATTAAGAGATTATCTCTTCATCCATGCAATAACATTTAAACTCATATTCAATAATTACCATAGTCCACCTTGGGTTCAAAAGGCAAATTCCTGAAAGCAAGGCCAGAGAGTCAGCTTCATTAGAGTCAGTTGACCCAGCTTGCTGCAAAAAAATGAGTAATACTCTACCACTTTGTCCTTGGAAAACTCCCCCACACAACTGGGCCTGGGTTTTCTGCCCAATCCAATTATTTTTTACCTTTTGGTACCATAATTTTAGGGAAATCTATCAAAATACATCTAAGTGATCAACTAGTTAACATTTTACCCATTTTCGACTATTCCAATTCATGATCATGTGTATTTTGATGGGTTTTTCTATATTGAATGAAAAGAAATGAGTAAAATGTTTAATAGTTAATCTCTTAGGTGCATTTTGATAAATTTCCCATAATTTTATTTATATTCTTGATAGTTACAATGACTTTCCTACTCGGACCAGCATTAGCTGAAACTCCCATTTTTCCTAGTTTTGTTATATGTCTACTTTTAAAATAACCAGTTGAAATGGATGGTACCAGCAGTTCCAGTTTTGTGAACCTGGACCTATTAAGTTTTGATTCAGACTTGTCCAGTAATATGGACTGTAGCTCACGACCAGATCTTCCTGAACATATATGAAGCATACAGAGTATTCATACCATTTTAAGGGAGACAGTCACAAGACTGCTCATACCTGAGGCTGGCGTGCCATTAAGCAGGGTAAGATGGCTGTCTTCATTGTGGTTAATTGGTCAATTAATGCTGGAACAACCAACAATGAGACTGCAGAAGTCACAGGGAAATCTTTCGAAGAATAACAGAGGGCATCCAGATTGAAACTAGCATGTACTAGCCTTGTGGGTTCCATTACTGAAAAAATAATGCCATCGTGAACTTGTCATCTGTAAGAAAATATGGGTTTCACAAGATATATCCATTGTGCTGATAAACAATAAGAAACAGACATTCACTTTTTCTCGATAATTTGTTCAAAAAATAAATAAAATAAAAAATAAGTCACATTCATGATTGAGTAAATACCAGGAAAATAATCTGCTGTAGGTGCACAAGAAGGGGGAGTATTCCTTGAACAATTGAGGAAAACGGTTACTTTGATTGGATCGGTAATCTGCCAACAGTGGAAATATACAGTGAGAGTCATCTTTATTACCCATGACACAGATAGCTCGAGTGTTTTATAACTCGACGATTCCTACACAAGCCTGGGCAAATCACTCGGAACCAGCAGGTTGCTGGGTCCAAGTGATAAATCCAGGTATCTGGCTTAGTCATGCAGGTTCCCAAGGTTCTCCTTTGTTTTTTTAAGACCCGCCCAAGTCGGACTGCGACTCAGCCGAGTTTGACTGTCTGACTTGGAACCAGGCCCTTGCCAGGTTCCAGGGTCACCTCCGAGTTTAAAAACACTGATCAACACAAACTATCCAACACAGGAATTAGAAGCTTGTGCAAATATGCTTTAGACTTCAAAATGGACCATCCTCGTACAATTTCCATATAGTTATTTTATAATATCACAACTGTCAATCAGATGGGAACAATCAAATGGTAAGTCTGTCCACTCAATTTCACGATACAGACAATACTACTACTGCTTAATATTGATAATTATAAACTATATGTGGAATTACAGTTAAACCAGTATTACTCCTCTAGGTTGTCAAATTCTTTTTGCTATGCTACAGAGGCCAAAGACTTAGAATTCAGATTCTGTGTGAAAATGAAGTAGAATTTAAATTTAAGAGGCCAAATCTTTGGGACTCTTTGGCCAAAGAGAAACTGATTTTGCCAAAGAGCCAAAATAGGTGTTCTTTGGCCAAAGCAAACTATACTCAAAGTCCTAATTAATTTTGGCAGTTTTTGGCTGTTTGCCTTGTTCATCAAAACCTTAGGGTAAAGCTTGCCCCTAAGGTTTTTTCCTTGTTTTCTTTTTTTTTGGAAGAAAAGGTGACTCTTGCCCTTAGGTGGGGGGCAATACAGGGCATGGGTATAGGGCACAACTCACTATTTCATGTAAAGAAGAATATTTTTCAGTTTTTACCTGATTGACACTTACCAACCGAAATAACGTTCAATTAAGAAGGAAAAAAAAATTAGCTCTAATAACTGTATGAAATTTGTTAGAAAAAGGCTCTAATGATGATGGACTGTACTAAATTTACACTACGGTAATAAAATTACAAGAAATACCCCTGAACAAGACATTTAGTGACAGCCTCAGATCCTGTGTGTATTAAAGATTTTAGAGATGAGTTTGATTTTGCTGTAATCTTTATTAACATCATTTATCAGCAGGAATCACTTTCACTCTACCATATTGAAAATAGTATTTAATTAGCACCAAATTACTTAAAACTGAATCCAATATTAAAAGTTGCTTCTACTTTAAATAGGATGATGAATATCGAAGGTTGTGATATATTTAATTTTTGTTAATAGTAAGAGGATGAATATTTTAATTTATTACGTTTTTAAATTTTGGAAAAATATTACAAAATCAATAAGAGAGTCAAAATATCCCAATTAATATTGGAGGGTTTACTTTCAATTTTTATTTCACTCAAGTACCTCAAAAAATATCAAAAAAAATTGCCAAAACTGTCTCTATTCAGGGTTAGCAAACCTGAACAGCAACAGAATTTTAGTAATTCCCACCTAAAAGGCCTCAACAAAATGACAGAAGTACCCCTGTGTATTTAGGGTGGGTCAAAATTATGGAAACCGTATGCTTGTTCAGGGTTCCCAACATTGAAAGGGCAATTTGTGCATGTTTTAAGATATTTTTAAGGAGTTACCCGAGTGAAAGAAAAATAAAAAAGTAAACCCTCTATTGTTAATTGTGATCGATTGACCCCTTTAGTGATTTTGTAAGGGTATTTTTACCCTTTAAATGGTATTTCCACTTCAATTTAAAATTTTCACATTTGTCAAAAAAATTTGTGCACACCTTTTTAAAATTTGAGATTTACATATGGACCTAAAATAAGATCAATAGTAAAAGCCAGCCCATATTTTGGGTCACCTTACCCTACGGTCCTAAATTTTCATTTTTTTATTTCTATTTTCCCCCCGATTCGAAAGTCCACTTTCAAACCTCCATAAACACAAAAAATTAAGCATTTGGGGTTTCAAAAGACCAACTTTGAAACCGCCCAAAATACAAAAAAAAAATGTGTTTGGGCGGTTCAAAAGTCCAACTTTCGAACCATCCAAAACACAAAAAGAAAAAAAAGTATTTGGGCAGTTCAAAAGTCCAACTTTCGAACGGCCAAACACTTGACGTTTTCTTTTTTTATTTTTGTATGTGTTTTGGAATATTCGAAAGATTGGATTTTCAAACTACACAAACAAATTAGTTTTTTGTATTTTGGGCAGTTCAAAAGTTGGACTTTCAAACTGCCAAAATGCTTTTTTTTTCCTTTTCTTCTGTGGTTTGGATCGTTTGAACCTTCAAACAAGGGGATAAAATGAAAATAAATAAAAAATACGTAAAAATTTCAGACCTCACCAGAAATGACCCCAAATACTTATAATATCGCATCTTATTTGGGTCCCTACATAAATTTCCCCATAGTTTGTATCTCACAAGGAAAGTTGGTGGAGGAGAGGAACAACTTTGTTTGCTCAAATGGAGAAATCATTCATCTCCACAGGCCATCAATGAGGCAGACAGTGGAAACTGCATGTTGTACAGCATAAAATCCAATAAAAAAATTGGTGTCATCTAATTTGCCATTAAGTACAGGATTCTTGGTAATTGATAACAAGCTAAATGATGTCTAGGTGAGCTTTGATGCAACACATATCAGCAGATGATGAGTTTTGAGTTATTAAAATCATAATTACAATTGCAGAACTAAAATCTTCACACTTTCCCAATAAACCTAATACAAATTTTGGAGTTATGAAGAACATAATTATCATATCGCATAAAGTTTTCCATGGAATTTTGTGAGTACCTGAAACACTAAAAGTTCTGAAATTCACACACCCACTTACCTTTGTTATGATCTAAAACTTTAGCACATTCTTATGTTAAAATATTTCTGCTCACCTCCCTGGCAGTTGATAACAATTGATTGCTGGAAGAAAAATATGAACAGAAGAGATTGTCTGCACCATCAAAACCTTTAATAGGCTTGAGATTTGAGTATCCACTCATGATATCTGATTCAGTACATAAAACAATGGGTTGGCATTCTTCTAATGTTTGCTTTGCACCTTCTACAACATATGTCATCTGGGGTGTGTTAAATCTAGCAGTTGTCTCGTCGATTAGAGAGGTAAACAACCCCTCTACATCTGCTGAACAATAACATGAGGTAAATGTCATCATCCAACTGAGAAATCATGAATCCTGAAGCATAAATAATTTATTTTTCCTTTCTTTCTAACCATTGTATTAATCATGTGGATCTTAGGAAACCGTGGCTACTCGCCTCATTTGAATAAGTTAGAATATTTCAAATTAGATTTGGGGGTTAGTCAATGGGGTAGTTTCTCATTTGAATTAGTTTATTAACCTTTTGTATTGGGGTAAGTTATTGTATGGGATTTGGGGATGGGTTGATTGGAAAGTGTTGTATAAATGAAAGTTTCAATAATTAAAGGATAGAGAGAACCATTTTCCTTAACACTGTGCATTGCACAAGGAGGAAGATTCCCCCTTGAAGAGGATCAAACTTTCTACGTACGATCTTGCCTAGCTGAGACTGGAAATCAACAAGAAGGTAAGATCATGAATAAATTGACAAGAAAGTTAAGATGAAATTGTAATTATGTCCATAAAGACAATCCCTTAAAGAAAAACTCATCAAGGCTAATTACTTTCCTCTCTTGATATCTCTCAGATTCCAATAAATTTGTGGTTTGAATATAGCATCCATATCTATCACAAAGCAGACCAATATTAGGAAGTGACTGTTGCTACTTAAAGTTAATTTATTTATAAGGTTGCAACCATAAAAAGTTGTTTGGATGTTGGAAAACCCTCTAATTGATCATCTTGACATCGAGATGTATGACTATGAAAAGAAAAAGATTTTGAGACCATGAAATAGTGTATCTTGCAACACATTATCTAGACCGTTCATTTTCAAGATTTTCATGTGTTTATAGATCTACTTGATTTAAACCATTTTTAGAGTTTAAAATTTTATAATTAGAGACGAAAATAGATTCTCAAACCATCCTAAATAATTTTTAATATCAAATTAAATTTACAATAAAATTTAGCGGTGCACCTTAATTGGATTGTTTACAGGTTGCAACCTTATGCAAACCATACCCATTTATTTATGAAGTTGCAGATTTTTAGGACTCTAAAGTATACGATCACTCACAAAAACGTTTGCAAAGATAGCCAAAGACAAATACCACTAAAAGAAATAAAATAAGAAAGTTGCTGGACCACAACAAAAACAAATCATAGATGTAAACCATCATACCTGATGGTCTATTTGTAGGAAGATACACTGGAAGCCTGATTGAAAGTTCACATCTAAGTAGACATCCTCTTTCCCATAAATACTTTTCGGGATTTTCTTCACATAAAACAGAGTCAAATGCTTCAGGTTTTGTATCGCTTCCAGATCCAAAGAAAAAATATTGGACTTTGCCATTGTTTAAATCATAAGCTGCTCCTATAACACCAGCGTTTTCATGATCTCGATTAAGCCATTTTGTCATATTACAAGCAGCGTTTGCTGCCTTAGAAGCATTTTCTAAAGGATCTCCATCGCCAATAACTAATGCACCAATTATATCAAACCCCCTCAGTAACAATGTCCTCATATCATCTGGTTTATGAATCAACAGTGACGCAGTAAGTGAGAAACTAGTCAATGGACACTATAGCTTCCAAAATTTAAATAGTCCAAAACAAATTGCAGCCAAGGCAGAGCAAGAGAGTGCTTCTTGTCTGATTAATGAGAAATTCACATAAACAGGTTAAAATATAAGAATAGAAATTACTATTTTTTGGAGAAAAATGAGAGCCATTAGAAGCACCTCAAGTCTCGCCATTCACCAAATTCCCATAAATATTCTTCCATTTACAACTGATTACAGCTAAAATTAATAAGCATGACCAAATTTGATTTAAAGCCATAAAAAAATGCAAGTTCAAAAAAAAAAAACGAAAAATAACTCTCTCACACTGATTTCATTGGAATCTTTTATCTTTTAGCAAAAACTTGTGAGAGAAGGGAATTCATATAAAAAAATCTGTAATTTACATGATTCAAAACAAACACTAGGAGAATGACTACTTTTTTTTTCCCTTTTTTTTTCGACGAGTTAAAGTCATTACAGCTGAAACAAACAATGGAAGAGAGAGAAAAAGAGAGACCTGCTTCAGCTGCATAATCGGAAGAAAACGGATCGCCATGAGTGTGTATACATCTGAAAGAAGAGACGACAGTGAAGGGCATGAAAGGGGAACCGATCAGCCATTGCAAGCCAGGCTCCCTTGAAAAAATAATTCTAGGGCACAAGATCCTAACGCTCTTCCCCTCCATTCCCATGCCTTTCCTTGCAATTATGAGCAGACGCCATTGCATAAATAAGCAGTAGCGCGTGCAGCGCACCACGGGAGCATACTGTCCGCTTACTTATATGTCTATAGGGAAATTTATCGTATACCAATTTATCTTGGAAAATAAATTATACAAAGTATCTACTTTATTGGAATGGGGCTGGGGTTGTGGTATGGCTCCAGGTTTATACCTCCATTTTGATTCGATTTAAAAATTAATTATTTCAAAAACAAGTAAGAATCCACGTTAAATTAATAGAAGAAAAAAAGATGGACGCTCTACTGCAGAAGTAAGCATATGTCAAAAACTCATCGGAAAAAGTTATCTCTAAAAACATCCTCCAATTGATTATCTCGACTTCTAAATATTATGAAGTTAAAAAAAAATTATTAAGTTTTAAAAAATAGTACATTTTATAATTTATTGTTTAAACCAATGGTTTAAAAACCGGATCGGTGACCCGGATCGGGCTTTTCAAAAATCGATCCGGATCGGCGAATCGGCGATCCGGATCGGCGAATCGGCGATCCGGATCAGAATCGGGTGAATCGGTCAAAATAAAGC